TTCAATGAAGATGATTGAGAATCGTTTTATGATCGCAGTTCATTTTTCGGCCAATTCACAACTTGTTCGGTGACCGTCCTGCTTCAAAAGTGCTTTGAGACGCTCTTCGTCGAATTCAGAAGGTCTTCCGCTGCGGGGCGTGTCGTCGACGTCGAAATCGCAATTTTTGAACTTCGCAAACCATTTCCGTGCTGTAGACTCGCCTATGACACCTTCTCCGTATACGTTGCAAATGTCCCGGGCTGCTTCGGCAGCTTTTTGGCCTCGATGAAAAGCGAAGAAGAGAAGGTGTCGAGAATGTTGCTTTTTACCTCCTGGATATTCCGTTTCTAAGCCTCAAAAGTAATAAAAAATTGAATTACTCGAAAAGACGATTAGCACAGTTTTGTAGAGCAGAAAGAGCTCTATCGAATGAATATTATACACTTTATCAAACAGCAATAAATCGTTGTGAAATAAAAGAAAATATAAAAACGCTACGAACTTATTCCCTAACCTAATATTTACATTTCTGTAGCTTTCTCTATCAAATTTCACACACTTTTTACTACATTTTCATAAAAATTGATCCGAGGTTGCTATAATCGTATTTGACAATTTTCTGATCAACTAACAAATTTTTGCTATTTTATCGCAAGTCAAAAATCACAGGAGAAACCTTTCAAATCTTTCAGCACTTACGAGCAGAGTATCACGTGCAAGGAGTGGTTTGCATCGTTTCGCTCTAGTTATCCCAGTTTCTAAAACAAAAGTTAAATAAAGAGTCATAAATATTTTTCAACGCGTGTACAACAAAGACTTCGACCAGATTTCATATCTCGTTCGCCATTTCGTCGTAAAAAACGTTACCGAAATTACTGTGCTTTTTTAGGTCGGCGGAGCGGCGCACAGTGGGCTGGATCGAGAAATTCAGTGACATTCTGTTATAACTTTTGAACCATCAAAGATATTGCAATGAAATTTTCACCAAAAATATTTAAAAAATAGATATTTTCAACTATAGATAATTAAATTTTTTTGCATTTGTTAAACAATAATTTTTAATTAATTTTCATTGACATTTTTTGTGAACAAAAAAATTGTTTAAATATAATGTTACAAAGTTCGTTTCGTTTACTTATATTTTTCATGTTATATTTAATAAATAAAAATTTTAAATATCTGTCGATTTACAGACGAAGAAGCGTTCTGTAATACCGACTAGAACACAGAGAGATTATCTTCGATATCTTTAACCTCGAAGTAACGTAACGTTGATATCTTTAAAACGTAATAATTTGCAATCTGGTTCGTCTTGGTATGTAACTTTTACAAAATTATGTAGAGGAAATTATCCTGAAAATATATCGTTTGTCCGAAACCGTGATTCTTTGGGTGTCGAAAGATATTCCTTGTCGAATCTAAAGAATTTTTACACTTTTTGTATTTTATCAAACATTATATTTTTCATACGTAGGATACAAAAATCTTAATTTAAGCTACTGTTTCCTAACGAGAAGTATTGCCTCCTAATGTTAAAAAAGAAAGCAAAGGAAAAAGTTAGTTAGGTTCGTCGGGACATTGCGAGAAAAAGAAGCATATTTTTTGACGTCGAATGTAGCGTTCAAAATGTTCAACTTTAAATTGTCGTTAACAAGCAATAAAAATTGACTGGACATCGATACGAGAAAACTAGGTTTTTGTCAAAAAGTCACTAAAAATCTTCGATCCGGACCACGAGTGCGGCGTCGCCCGTTGATGTCGCGGGGGTGTCGGGTATTGTGATTCGGCGGTGAAGGTGTTGAACGAAGTTCGTCCGCCGGCACGGCACGGCAGGACAAAGCGGCCGCGCGCGATTCAAACGTTTCTGGGAGGGGAGCGGGACGGAAGGGAGCGAAAAGAGAGAGGACGGTCGTCGTCAGTAACTCGGCGACCAGAGAAAGAGAAGGAAGGCCAGCAAGGATGGTGGTGATCGGGTCCGGATCCGCGACTGGCAGTTCACGGCTGGTAGTCAGCGCGCAGTCAGTCAGTCATTCAGTTAGCCGGTTGTAGTCATTCGCGGCGGTAAAAGTTCTGCTTCCCCGATCCCATCATGTACCTGTCGCGCGTCCCGGCCCGCACGAGTTTCACTTGACTTGATGCCCTTTTGACTTGATCGATCCCGCCGAAACGCACCACGGGCCGCCGACGGTTTTTCCACGATTTTCCATGGACTGGTTGAGAACCCCGCCGAGGAGAAACAGGGTTGATCGTCGAAAGTGTGAGTGCCGTTGCAGTCGGTGTGTGTGCATGCAAAAGAGAACCGATCCTTTCTTCTGAGAAGTGATAAAGTGAGAGGACGCAGCGCCCGCGACCTTCAGGAGGATCTCGAAGAGGACCTCCGCGAAGAGGTGTCGTCCCCGCTTGGATAAAAGCGACGTAAACGCAACCACGGATGGTTAACGTGAGTACCGTGTTGCCGCATGGTTGTGTTGCCGTTGGTGACTTTGTCGACTCGCGTGGGATAAAGGGCACCGGAATTCAAAGCGATTTCGATTTTTTTACACCAAGATCCTGCAAAATCCGTGACGTGTTTGCGCGATAGAAATGCTCGCGGCAGGATCTTGCGTGGATATCTGACGTTACCGAGTCGCGGCTGTTACGCTTTAGGATTAATCTTTGTGCGATAGAAACATTGTTCGCGTCGACGGCGAGAAGCGGGAACTAAATAGGAATTATGCTGGGTTGTTGCAAAAGTAATTTCGGTTTTTCAAATAGATAGCTTGCAACGAAACCGGAATTATAATATTGTATTTAAAATTATAGTGCTATATTTCAAATTGCGATACTGTATTTGAAATTGCAATACTATTTTTGAGATTACAATAGTATATTTGAAATTATAATACTATATTTGAAATCGCAATACTGTATTTGAGATTACAATACTATATTTGAAATTACAATAGTATATTTGGAATTACAATATTATATTTGAAATTATAACACTATATTTAGAATCATAATACTGTATTTGAAATTACAGTACTATATCTGAAATCACAATACTGTATTTGAGATTACAATACTATATTTGAAATTACAATAGCATATTTGGAATTACAATATTATATTTGAAATTACAATACTATATTTAAAGTTATAATACTATATTTGAGATCACAATACTATATTTGAAATTATAATACTATATTTAAAGTTATAATATTATATTTGAAATTACAATACTATATTTAAAGTTATAATACTATATTTGAGATCACAATACTATATTTGAAATTATAATACTATATTTAAAGTTATAATATTATATTTGAAATTACAATACTATATTTAAAGTTATAATACTATATTTGAGATCACAATACTATATTTGAAATTATAATACTATATTTAAAGTTATAATATTATATTTGAAATTACAATACTATATTTAAAGTTATAATACTATATTTGAGATCACAATACTATATTTGAAATTATAATACTATATTTAAAGTTATAATATTATATTTGAAATTACAATACTATATTTAAAGTTATAATACTATATTTGAGATCACAATACTATATTTGAAATTATAATACTATATTTAAAGTTATAATATTATATTTGAAATTACAATACTATATTTAAAGTTATAATACTATATTTGAGATCACAATACTATATTTGAAATTATAATACTATATTTAAAGTTATAATATTATATTTGAAATTACAATACTATATTTAAAGTTATAATACTATATTTGAGATCACAATACTATATTTGAAATTATAATACTATATTTAAAGTTATAATATTATATTTGAAATTACAATACTATATTTAAAGTTATAATACTATATTTGAGATCACAATACTATATTTGAAATTATAATACTATATTTAAAGTTATAATATTATATTTGAAATTACAATACTATATTTAAAGTTATAATACTATATTTGAGATCACAATACTATATTTGAAATTATAATACTATATTTAAAGTTATAATATTATATTTGAAATTACAATACTATATTTAAAGTTATAATACTATATTTGAGATCACAATACTATATTTGAAATTATAATACTATATTTAAAGTTATAATATTATATTTGAAATTACAATACTATATTTAAAGTTATAATACTATATTTGAGATCACAATACTATATTTGAAATTATAATACTATATTTAAAGTTATAATATTATATTTGAAATTACAATACTATATTTAAAGTTATAATACTATATTTGAGATCACAATACTATATTTGAAATTATAATACTATATTTAAAGTTATAATATTATATTTGAAATTACAATACTATATTTAAAGTTATAATACTATATTTGAGATCACAATACTATATTTGAAATTATAATACTATATTTAAAGTTATAATATTATATTTGAAATTACAATACTATATTTAAAGTTATAATACTATATTTGAGATCACAATACTATATTTGAAATTATAATACTATATTTAAAGTTATAATATTATATTTGAAATTACAATACTATATTTAAAGTTATAATACTATATTTGAGATCACAATACTATATTTGAAATTATAATACTATATTTAAAGTTATAATATTATATTTGAAATTACAATACTATATTTAAAGTTATAATACTATATTTGAGATCACAATACTATATTTGAAATTATAATACTATATTTAAAGTTATAATATTATATTTGAAATTACAATACTATATTTAAAGTTATAATACTATATTTGAGATCACAATACTATATTTGAAATTATAATACTATATTTAAAGTTATAATATTATATTTGAAATTACAATACTATATTTAAAGTTATAATACTATATTTGAGATCACAATACTATATTTGAAATTATAATACTATATTTAAAGTTATAATATTATATTTGAAATTACAATACTATATTTAAAGTTATAATACTATATTTGAGATCACAATACTATATTTGAAATTATAATACTATATTTAAAGTTATAATATTATATTTGAAATTACAATACTATATTTAAAGTTATAATACTATATTTGAGATCACAATACTATATTTGAAATTATAATACTATATTTAAAGTTATAATATTATATTTGAAATTACAATACTATATTTAAAGTTATAATACTATATTTGAGATCACAATACTATATTTGAAATTATAATACTATATTTAAAGTTATAATATTATATTTGAAATTACAATACTATATTTAAAGTTATAATACTATATTTGAGATCACAATACTATATTTGAAATTATAATACTATATTTCAAATTATAATACTATATTTAAAGCTATAATATTATATTTGAAATTACATAGTACTATATTTGAAATTACAATACTACCCTAATAAATTTAATAATCTAAAAAACTGGTATATTGACATTATTAAACAATTTCAATCCAATTACATAAATTTCACCAACTTACTTCTGTTATGAATGCATAAAATCCGAAGTCCAATGATAAGTACCACCCAAATTGTTAATATTATAAGAAAGTAAGAGAAAAATATCATGTTATTGTAACTATACTACAGATTTGATGCGTTCATGGCACAATTTTAAGGTTGTCAAGGCGTCAATGCACTATTTTCAATCTATTAAAGTGATAAAACGAAGAAAGACCTTTTTATTTCATTTCTATTTCTTGCAATCGAAGCAGGCAATTTTTATCTTGCATAAATATCCGCAGTTTAGTTACAATACAGCACACGGTTGCCAGCAATTTAATACAGTTTTCTACTCAGTCAATATAATTATTAAACCAATTAATGCGTTATTAAACCAAAAGCATGCCACTTTTATTTGATTACACGTTACCCGGTCCCTCGATTATATTAAACGCACTTACGGTGCAAAGAATCTTTACACGTAATGCACTGCTACCGCTTTTCGTTTGGCTAGCCGTGGAACGCATATGCCTCGATGCAAACATGGTAACAACATTCCCCTCGTCATCGCATTCTTCACTCCAGTTCTTGTTGCTCTCGCAATTTTTTTCCTTTCAGAGGATTCACTCTTCCGTCGCGTTTTTCTTTCTACCCTGCTCTGATTTTTCCTTTCTTGCAAGAACCGGCGTAGACGGTCGGGCTTTCTCCTCTTTTTATTCAAATCTTTCCTCCGATCCTCCATTGGATTGTCGTGAAGCGATAAAGTAGAGTGCGGATCTTCGTGCAACGTAAAAATTGTCTGCGTTGATAATAAGAAATGCAAGTTAGATGATCGATGCAGCTTCCTCTTTTGACAATTTTAACCCTTTGCACTCGAGTGGCGACTCTGAGGCACCGCTAGAATCGTTACATCACGTTCCAAGATAATTTTTATATCAACAAAGTTTAGATTTAAAACATTATTATGTTATAAAAAAGAATAATAAAGAAATTATTTTAAAAAAAATTGTTATAAAATGCACTTTGTCGTATAAAATGGAAATACTGTAAGTCAGAGAAATTATTTTAGATTTACAGTTGAAATGGCTTCGAGTGCAAAGGATTAATAAGTCGACAGTAACGTAACAATGCTCTTTTGAATTCTAGTCGAATTTTAAATTTTTACCGACAAGACAAAATATTTACTTAAAAAATATTAAACGTTCAACGATATTAAAATCGGTGTTGCATTCGAAAGGGTTGAATCAAGGATTAAAAGAAAAGAAATTTGTATAGGATTATTTGTATCAATGATTTTATTGGAGTAACAATAAGAAAAAGCTACATCAGTGAGCCGAAAGTTTATTTTATTCGCTGTATAATTTTTAACGATACATAAACAATTTGCAAAACGCGAAAAACCTGTTACTATTATTAATAGCTTTGAACAAGCGTAACAAAGTCTACTTATCGATCTATACATATGCATAGTGTTAAAAATAGCGTTGAGAACATAGAAACTTTTTGCGCCATTCGCATTTATTTATTGCTGCGTCGACGCGAATATCGCACCTCGACAAACTCTGACAAAGCATGTCCGATTGTGAACTATCACGCTGCGGTATCGCATTTTCCTTTGAAAAATGTAACGATCGTCTAGGTTAGAATTTAGCGAATATTTCAGTGAACCTTATTTTATTGCAAAAATTCGCATAAGAATTTGTGCGAATTCGTGCGAACGCTGAAAATTCGTGAACTATTTCGCAACGACTTTAGCGCTCCTCAATTGTGTAAAAAAAGCTGTATAAAAATTAGACATATCAATACTTCGGATACATTGTCATTTTATTATTTTATTATATTTTTTCATTATATTATTTTTTCATTATTATTATATTTCATTATATTATTTTTTATGTTCTCGCAGCCGATTATAAATTGTCATACACAATAAATTCTTCCTAATTGACGCTCAAATTGTGCACAAAAATGGACAATTTGGGGAAAGGAGACGCGATTGTTTTATTATATTATTTATTTATTA